GAGTAATCCAGAGGATCTGAGGAGATGCGAGTGGGTGTCCAACAGACATGCCCAGTCCTAAAATAGTCACTAGCCAGGGGAGTTTGCATGCTGTGGATAGATTCAGTTAAATACATCATCTTCAGTGCAATGGGCAATGAGGATCCACTCTTCCTCTTCAAAAAGGACCCCTCTTCAAGGACCCCTTCATCTACAATCACTCACATCGCCTTATTTATTTTTTGGTGACATGACAATCAGACATCAACCTGTGAAGCAGTCATTGTGAATTGCTGTAGTCATTACTTTTCTGTTGCTGTGATAAAATACCATAATAAAAACTTAATTGGGAGACAGAAGCATGTGGAGCTCTTTGAGTTCAAGGCCAGGCTGATCTATACAGTGAGTTCCAGGCCAGTCAGGGGTACACAGAAAGACCCTGCCTCAACTGCAAAGTGTTGTGCCCCTGGATAGGACTCCTGTATTAAACCTCACCCACCCAGGGATCAGGGATCATTGCAGAAGACGGGGTGGAAGATTGTAAGAACCTGGGGTAGTGGATGACCACAAGAAAACAGAGTCTTCCAGGTTTCTTGGAACTTGCTCATATAAACTTAGAGCAAGGGTGACAGGATGGACAGGACCCATGTAAACTCAATCAGACAAAAAATCCAGCATAGAACTGAGGAAACGGGCAGGAGGCCCCAACCTCAGGCAAGGAACTGTTGACAGCTGATTACTGCTGGGTCTGCTTTAAGGGAATGATGGTAGATAGGCTGACCTGACCAGGCTCCAGTGGATGAACTCACAGTGAGAGCCATTTGGGTTTACAAACTTGACTCGATAGGCCTTAACATATATGACAGGGTGCATGAAATTTGGTGAGCTGGCCATAGGGGGTTGCAGATAGGGGAGGGAGGTCTAAATATGATTAAGGTGCACTGTATGAAATGCATAAAAATTCAATAAATATATTAGAAAAAAGGCCTTGTCTTTAAAAACATTAAAATTGAGGGAGCGTTTATTTGGGTTCACAGTCTAATGCGGCAGAAGGAACATGAGGCAACTGGTCACACAGCATCTGCAATCAGGAAGTAGAGAGAGATGAATGCTCCTGCTCAGCTCCCTTTCTCTTTTTTATTCAGTCCAGGATCCCAGTCCATGAGATGCTGCTGCCTACCTTTAGGGTGGATCCTCCTACCTCCAGTAACCTAAACTAGATAATTCCTCACGGGTGTGCCCAGAGGCCTTTCCTAGGTGATGCTAGGTTCAAGCAAGTTGACAGTCTATACATCATCATATATAAACCATCATATTTGTAATTGCCTTGCTCAGTGTTCAATGTCTATGTCTCCTTTGAAGACCCAAATGCTAAACCCCATCCTTCTCAGCTGCCCTGGATGCGCAGTCCTGGTACAAGTTCCTCTAGCCAGGATCCATCATTTTGCTTCCACAGACAATGGCAGGGGTGGCCCAATCCCAGAGCCCTGATTTTATAAGTACCTAAATCCCTGGGATTAAGTTCCATGGCCTTGTCTGGATTTGAAATCTGAAAAGGACATCTTACTTCCTGACTAGCCTGATTGCCACTATCTGTCTCTCCCAACTTTGATTTAAGTTCCTTGCTGTCAGAAACTTGCTTGTTTTCCTCTGCTGTGTCCACACCACTTAGCAAAGTGCCTGGCACATAAACAGTGCTCAGTAATGAGTTTCTGGCTGGTTAGTTGGAGATGAGATGTTGATAGTATGTGAATGAGAAGGAGATAGTGGACAGTAAGGCTCATTTCCCAACTGGTCACCTGGAGTACCCCAGAGTGTAGTTCTTGCAATTTCCCACTATTTACACTTTATAGGCAAACACATGTACTCTCATTGGTTTAATTTTTGTTTGCTTATTTGTTTGAGACAGAATCTCCCTGTTGCTCCAACTGGCCTGGAACTCACTATGTAGACCAGGATGGCCTCGATCTCACAAAGATCTGCCTGCCTCTGCCTCCTGAGTACTGGGATTAAAGGAGTGTGCCACCATGCCTGGCTTTAATTTTTTTTTCTTTTTCTTCTTTTTTTTTTGTTGAAAATCCTAACTAGTTTATTGGGCTTGCTAACAGAGCATAGGGTGGGGGTTTATTTACAGAAGAGTGGGTGCCCCCCATTTACAGCTGCAGTGGAAAGCCCACACTCAAATATAGATCCTGTGACTTCCTGACAGCTACACAAAATGATGAGAGAGGTGCTTCCTGGTGTTCTGGGCTCATATATCCTTAGCCCCTCCCCCACATGCAGCTAAGATCAACTGATTGGGTGGGAGAGGTAACTGACTCCCCCCTCGACTCTTTGATGAGTGTGAGAAGGAGGTGTGACCATAGTTTGCTGGCATAGTGGTTGGAGGACACTTCCAGTTAACACTCCACCACTTCCTTGGGCTTACATTCTTTTCACCAACCTCTTCTGCAAAAGTCCTGAGCCTTGGAGGGGGTGGTAGGTGTGGGATGATCTTCCTCCCATTGTGGCAGGGCACTGAACTTTCGGGTCTCTGTGCTGTCAGTTTTCCATGGGCTTGGCCCATTTCAGTGGGATTCCATCTACTATAAAAACACAAACAGCAAGAAGCAAGAACATCTAAACAGTGGCTGCTATAATAACTTAACCTATGAGTGGAAACACAGATGCTTGGTTGGTACTTTAGCAGGTGCATCACATCCATCTAACAAAACAACTGCAGTGGCTTCCCACTGGGGACTATATTCTCCCTTGCCACAGGGGGTTGGCCTGGTCTACAGTACCAGATGTGTGTTCTATACCTAGGAGTGGGCATTATATCCAATCGAAAATTTGCTGGTTGTACATACATTAGACACTCCACTATTCCACCAGTAGGAACATCTTGTTTGGTATGTTGATAGTGCCAACAGGCGGGGTCTGTTGTTGAGCAGAATTATAGGGGACGATTCTCCCCCAGGCATCTGCATATCACCTTTTGGCACCATGAAAGCCATCCATCCAGTGGCAGGGAATTTCCAGCTTAGTCCAAGCTTGATTTCCCCCTTTCCTGCACTCACATCAAGCAGTGTCTTCAGCAATAGGGTTTTTCATCCACTTCCAGTGTACAACCAACATTATTGGCAATGGCTTTTATTGTTTTGGGGACCTCTAGGGCCCCTCAGCTGGTTTAAATTTTTTTTAAAGATTTATTTTATTTTTAATTATGTGTGCACGAGGGTATGTGCACATGATACAGGTGCCAACAGAGCCCCCTGATAGATTTACCACTTAAAACTTTAATATTGTGGGGGCTGGAGAGATGGCTCAGCAGTTAAGAGCACTGACTGCTCTTGCAGAGGACCTGGGTTCAATTACCAGCACCCACATGGTGGCTATGAACCATCCTTAACTCCAGTTCCATGGGAATCTAAAGCCCTCTTCTGATCTCCAAGGCATTGCATGACACGGGCGCACTCACATGCATGCAGGCAATACACTTATACACATAAAATAAAAGTAATAAATAAAATATTTTAAAAATTTAATATTGTGGTAAAATGTACATAATATAAAATTAGCCATTTTACTTTGTGTATGTGTTGCTGAGGGTTGAACCCAGGGCCTCACACATTCCAGGCAAGTATTCTACCACTGAGTTATACCTAGTCATACCAACAATCCCTTAACTGCTGGTAAGCATCCAATTCAACGTTATATACATTCACAATGCTGCCCAGTCATCATTACCATCCATTTCTAGAATTTCTCTATCATTCTCAAAAGAAGCTCTGTACCCATTAAACAAAAACTCCTTTCTACCAGCCTCTGGTACTCGGTTTTGAGAAAAGTCAGAAGACTCAGAGAAGAGCAGTGCGACCAAAGAACACAGCAGCTAACTAAGTCCTCCAGGGAAACCCAGAGAGCATCCCCTTCATGAACTTGTAAAGGATGCGTGGGTCTGGGGACAACAGGGAGCTGGCGGACTCCATCTGAGATACACTAATGGTTCTACTGGACCTGCGGCTAACCAATCATCTGATTTTCTTTTCTTTTTTTTCTTTTTTTTTTTTTTTTTTTTTTTTTTTTTTTTTTTTTTTTTTTTTGAGACAGTTTTGTGAAGCAGGTGGGGGGCTGGCCTCAAACTTGCTATGTGGCCCAGAACAGCCTTGAATTTCTGGTTCTCCTGTTTCCATATCCTGAGTGCTGGGATTACAGATGTATACCACCATGTTCATTTTATGTAGTGCAGGGGGTCAAACCCAGGGTTTTGTGCATGCTAGGCAGGTACTGCATCAACTGAGCCGTGTCCCCAACTCTCATCCGACTTTATTAAGGTTCTTCATTCTTCATGCTGGTGGACCAAGAGACAGAGGAGGAGGAGCCATATAGCTAGTAGAGATAATAGACTGATTAGCATGATGACCCAGCATGCCGATGCCCAGTGTTGGAAAGGAAGCCTAGGCTGGAGCTCGGACAGCTTCAGGCATGTCTCTGTGCTTCTGCGCCCATTAAGATGGGTAAACAGGCAGCTGTGGCAATCAAGGGCTCAGACTCTGAGTCTAGTATGATAACAGCTCTTGATTTGGAAGATCCTGGAGCTGGCAGCAGGATGCCATTGCAGAGAATTTACTAGTGTCTGTGTCCTCTGAGGTTGCTGTTCGTTGATAATCTCTCAGTGGGTTTCTTCCCTTAGGCTCTGATAATTGTCTCAGAGAGTCCTAGGCAAAACCTCAAGAGACCTCAGGGCATTAGAAAAATAAAACCTCTGTATGGCTGGTCCAGACCTTATTCTATGCCAAGGTGAAGTGGCTCCTTCTGCATCCCAGGCCCTGGTCATTGTCACCATAGAATGACTCCAATCACCTCTGAGCACCAGGCAAGGGCTCAACAGACCACCATCTAGCCAGGGAGATGTTTGGAAGCCACCAGAACACAGAAAGGGTTTAGGGTGACTTTCCAGCGTGCTTGGGGACCGCGGATGCTGCAATCCAAGCACTGGGAACAGCACCCCTGGTTCCTGCCACGTGGTCCAACCTCCTCAAGGTAGGCAGCCCGTTTGCTTGCCCCTTTTGTCTTTGCAGGGACCTAGGTGGTCATGCAAGGTAAGTAGCAGCCCCCAGAGCACAGGAGGCAGTCTCAGGAGCCAGTGGGAAGGAAGTCCCCATGCGCATGATGCCGCTTGAGCCCAGCTGCTGGGCTCTGCGAGCAGTTAGGAGTGGGAGCCGCAGCCGGGACCGAAGAGGTTAACGTGCATCTGCCTCCGAATGTTAATGTGTCTAGGTGATGTCAGTAGGAGCCGGGAAGGAGGGAGTGGGGCGAGCAGTTGGGCTGGGAGGCAGCTGAGGCTGCCAGGCGGTGGAGGAAGACCCCCTTTCCAGACTGCGGGGCTCACATTCCTGGACCTAGTGGCTGAGGCTGCGGCAGCCTGCGTGGGTGGACGGGAGCTCAACTCCGGGGAACAGGCGACCCGCACCGGCTGGATGGATCTGCAAACCTCCCTGCTGCTCACTGGCCCCAACGCCAGCAACACCTCTGATGGCCAGGATAACCTCACGGTGGCCGGTGAGTTGGGAGCCTTCCCTCCTTCAGGATTGGGGTGGATAGGGGGGAAGGTTTCACCTCCAGAGCCAAACTGCTTGGGAAACTTTATTTTACAGTTCTTGGGGATAAGATCTGCAGTCTGATTTGCCTGGAGGGGCGGCGGGGAGAGGACAGGGGCAGCCAGGACAGAAGGGGCAGGGATGTTTAGAGATGGGGCAGAGGCACATTTAGAAGTGACAAGGGATGGTGGCTAGGCGGGAGGCAGGCAGGGGGTGGCTTGCTGGTGAGTTCCAAATATGCTTTGCAGAGAAAAAAGAAAGAAGGAAGAAAAAAAATTCACACTGGAAAGGCAGGGGAAGCCGGCATGTGGGAGCAGCGGAGGCGCTTTAAATTCCCTGCTACCCCAGGCTCAGGCTCAGTCCTCAGTCCCTGCACAGGGGTCATGGGGTCCGACTCGTCCTAGCTGTCCCCTGGCAGAAACCCAGGGAAGCAAAAGACTTCACAGGGCGTGAGAGGATTAACTTTTCTGGTGAATTAAGCTTCCTGACATTTGCAGAACAGCAATGCCCTGAATTTCTAGCTTTGAAGGGAAGGAAAAGAGGAAAGGTTTGTGTGGAGAGAATTCTGAAGCTGCTGGACTGCAACACAGCCTCTGTCACTGCCTTGTTGGGGAAGCCCAGGCTCAGGAGACACCGGCCCAAGGAAATCCCTGATAGGAAACCTGGAGAGGGCAGGGCTGCTGAACCTGAGACAAAATCCACATCCATGTTGGTCAAAGCCAGTATAAGACAGTCATTCCTGCTCAGGAACCAGGATGCAACCTTTAGCCACCTGTCTCTGAAATGATAGGGCTGCAGATACGGAAAACACATACACACACGTGCACACACATGTGCACACGTGTGCACACACATATGCACAAACACGCATACTTCCATGTCTTTCTAGCTTTTTCTGACAAGGTTTCCTGGTGAATCCCAGGGACTTGAAGTCATTCTCAGTAGACAGCTGTGGGTCTTGACCCCCTGTCCTCAGAGTAAACACATGAGACAAAGAGTGGGTCTTGCTACTAGCAGATGGCTTTGGAGAGTCTAGGATTCACCAGCAAACAGTGGAGGAGGGCAAAAGGACAGGATTAGCAACAGGGTAGGGAAGGAGGATGGTCGGAGAGAATTCCAGATGAACAGTGACCCCTGAGCTGAAATGGAACAAGAGGGAGGCAGGTGTGGCATTGGAGTCCAGGAGGATTGCAGGCCGTTGTCTCTAGAGCAGAGGGCAGACCACACTTGCTTTTTCCATCTTCAGGGTCACCTCCTCGCACTGGGAGCGTCTCCTATATCAACATCATCATGCCTTCGGTGTTTGGAACCATCTGCCTCCTGGGCATTGTGGGAAACTCCATGGTCATCTTCGTGGTGGTGAAGAAGTCCAAACTACACTGGTGCAGCAACGTCCCTGACATCTTCATCATCAACCTTTCTGTGGTGGACCTGCTCTTTCTCTTGGGCATGCCTTTCATGATCCACCAGCTCATGGGCAATGGGGTCTGGCATTTTGGGGAGACCATGTGTACCCTCATTACAGCCATGGATGCCAACAGTCAGTTCACCAGCACCTACATTCTGACTGCCATGGCCATCGACCGCTACCTGGCCACCGTCCACCCTATCTCTTCCACAAAGTTCCGGAAGCCCTCTGTGGCCACCCTGGTGATCTGCCTACTGTGGGCTCTTTCATTCATCAGCATCACCCCCGTGTGGCTCTATGCCAGGCTCATCCCCTTCCCAGGGGGTGCAGTGGGCTGTGGCATCCGCCTGCCCAACCCAGACACTGACCTCTATTGGTTCACTCTGTACCAGTTTTTTCTGGCCTTTGCCCTGCCCTTTGTGGTCATCACCGCTGCTTATGTGAGAATCCTGCAGCGTATGACATCTTCGGTGGCCCCTGCCTCTCAACGCAGCATCCGGCTGCGGACAAAGAGGGTGACCCGCACAGCCATCGCCATCTGCCTTGTCTTCTTTGTGTGCTGGGCACCCTACTACGTGCTGCAGCTGACCCAGCTGTCCATCAGCCGCCCGACCCTCACATTTGTCTATCTATACAATGCAGCCATCAGCTTGGGCTATGCCAACAGCTGCCTCAACCCCTTTGTGTACATAGTGCTCTGCGAGACCTTCCGCAAACGCTTGGTCTTGTCGGTGAAGCCTGCCGCCCAGGGGCAGCTCCGGGCAGTCAGCAATGCCCAGACGGCTGATGAGGAGAGGACAGAAAGCAAAGGCACCTGACACTTCCCCTCTGCCCCCAAGTCAGGTCACTACATCAAACCAAGGAGAGAGATGCTGAGACAAACCCAAGGCTACCTTGGGGGAATGCAGGGAGGCTGGAGGGTGAAGGCTTGTTACAATTATATTCCATGGGGCCCACAGTTTGCTGGGGAGGCTTGGAGCCAGGATCGGGGAGCTTCAGACTTCAGAAATCCCCTTGGTAGGATAAAAACTGAATGAGAAGAAAATGTTGGTTTGACCATTCTACTGAGGGCTATATCTGTTATTGCCCTTACGTCTTTTTCCCAAGGGGAGAAGTGATTGGAGGAGGGGCTAGGAGATGGCCAGCTGGGGCCATATTGCCAGGTTGCATGGCCCAAGCACTCTCCCCCATCTCTCATTGGTTTGATAGAAGGCACTCTTTCTCTCAAGCTAGTGGATGATGAAAAAAACCACGCTGTCTCCGTTCCAGCAGTCTGTGATTTCCCTTTATTGCTAAGGGATGCATGTTTACATCGGGGGGTGGGGCCATGAGCCCACAGGAGTTTAAAAAAGAAAGCCCAATTTTTCTGAAGATCCGATACCTGAGATTAACAAGGCACCACAGCAAGTGGGGGGGTGCACTTGAAACTAATAGAAAACGGGGCAGGGGACTTCTGCAGCTACAAGAACATTCTCTTCTCACGGTCCTTGGTGGATCCAGAGTGAGCACCTATGTATTCTGCCTGTGCTGGGGGGGTCATTCTAGGGCCTTATGTGTTGGCATCATCTTTCTGCTTGAGCCTCTCTAAAATAAAAACAAAATAAAAGAAAACCTCCACCCACATCATTCTGGAGGCTCCTGCATAATTGCTTGGGCTTTGGGGGCGGGGTGAACCCTGTACAAGGGAAGAGGGGGTCATTGGGCTATAGTATTTGGATCTTGTTTCAGGCTGCGTTTTTAGGGAGACTAAAGTAAGGAATCTGTTTTTTTCTAAGCCCAAAGGGAGGATTCAGTGTGGCATTAATGGAATTACTGTGAATTCATTAGATTGCAGCTCTGCTTGCTGGGCTTGTTCTGGGGAACAAGCTTCCTAGCTTTGGCGCCTATTGTCATCAATGCGGGCTCCTCAGGCCCCCAAGTCCCACCCCCAATGTCCCTCTCCAACCCTGCCCTCTGCCCCATGCTGAGTCACTAGCTGCAGGGGTCACTCCTGGGGTAATATGAACTAGTCTCTGCTTGCTGCAGTTGAGATCTGCTGGGCACCTTGAACAGATGACAGTTCTGGCCGCTGGGAGGCAGTCACGGCTGCTGCTTCTCAGTTCTGTCACCTAGAGGGAGCTGGAAGCCAGAGTTCTCTGGGTACCCCTCTGCAGACCTCAGTGAGATACAGCAAATTATCTGGAAGCATCCCAGAGGCTGTTTCTCTTCTTGCCGGTCATTTTACACTGCAGAGTTACAGTAGTAGCAGCTTAGAAAACTCCAGGCAGCTTCCCTGGGTTTTGGGGTGCTCATTCACCATCTTCATTAGTAGTAATATTTCCAGATCTGTGGTTAGTTCTCCTTCCACAATAACAGTAGTACCTCTCACTGCCATACATAAGCCCCAAGTCTAGTTTAGAGGTGCATTCAATGAAAGAAAAATGATCAAGAGACAATAGATGTGGTGGCGCCTGTAATCCCAGCACTAGGGAGACTGAGGCAGGAGGATCAAGAATTCAAAGCCAGGAATGGTGGCGCACACCTTTAATCCCAGTACTTGGGAGGCAGAGACAGGTGGATCTCTGTGAGTTCGAGACCTGCCTGGTTTACATAGCTCGTTCCAGGCCAGCCAGGACAACATAGTGAGAACCTGTCTCAAAAAAAAAAAAAAAAAAAAAAAAAAAAAAGTTCAAAATCAGGGCCCACTTGAGATGGCTCAGTGGATAAAACACTTGATGTGCAAGTCTGATCACCTGTGTTAGATCCCTAAAACCCACATAACTGTGGAAGGATAGAACTGATTCCTCAAAGTTGCCCTCTGACCACCACATGGGCACACCTTTCCTCCACTACACAAAATAATAAAAATTAAAAAAAAAAAAGAGTTTGGGGTTGGAGAGATGGCTCAGCTGTTAAGAGCATTGGCTGCTCTTGCAGAGGACTGGGTTTGGTTTCTAGTACCCAAGGCAGCTTACAACTGTCTGTAGCTCTAGTTCCAGGGGATCTGACATCAGACACACATGTAATACACATACTTACATGTAGGCAAACACTCATACACATAAAATAATTTAACAAACGTAAAAGAGTAGAGCCAGGCATGGTAGTGCATGCCTGTGGTCTCAGTACTCAGGAGGCAGAAGCAGAGGCAGGTGGATCTCTGTGAGTCGAGGTCAGCCTGCTCTACACAGGGAGTTCCGGGCCAGCCCTAGCTATATAGTGAGACCCTGTTTCAAAAAAAAAAAAAAAAATCAAAACAACAACAACAGCAACAACAATAAAGAGATAAAGGCTAGCCTAAGTTGCATAATGAGATCCTATCTCAAAAATAAAATTAAGAGGACTGAAGAGATGGCTTAGCGGTTAAGAACACTGGTTGCTCCTGTAGAAGACCCAGATTTGAATCCCAGTACCCACATGGCAGCTAACAATTATCTGTAACTCCAGTTGAGGGAATTCTATGCCCTCTTCTGGTCTCCAAAGGCATTGCGTGACACAGGTGCACTTACATACATGCAGGCATAGCGCTCATACACTAAAATAAATACTTAAAAAAAATAGTGTTTGGGAAGTCATAAGGTAAATCCAAGGAGATACAACTCCTAACCACTAGTGGAGAAGGAGGCCTTCCTACACCTCGTTTGTCTATGAGGTTTCCTATCATCCTCACACTCCTCAAACCCTCCAAGGAGGAAACTGAGAGAGGAGCCAAGTGAGTGACCTCTCCCAAGAATGCACGTGGCCAAGCTGACAGCTGTCATGGGTGGAGACCCCTGATGCACTGAAGGAGGGAATGTCCCTTCCCCAGCTATTAATCCCACAATGAAGAGACCGAAATGGAAGCAAAGTGGGTTGAACCCTGAGAGAGAGTGAATGAGTGGTGATAGAAACCAAAGAAAGGGCAGAAGAGGAGGTTTGGTTTGGTATTGGGGACAGAGCAGAGGGAGGACGGAAGGCTGAGAGGGGAGAAACTACACTGGGAGTTGGGTGACTGTCACCCACTCATATCTTCTCAGCCTCATCAGGACCCTGCGCAGTTCTTGATGCCAATGGATAAGAGTAAACATATGTGGCCAGTGTAGTGGCATACGCCTGTAATTCCAGCACTTAGGTTGTGGAGACAGGGAGATCACAAGCTTGAGGTCAACCTGAGCTAACAATAGTAAGATTTTGTTTTGAAAGGAGGAGGAGGA